TTTATAAAGTTAAGTTGGAGAAGACAAATTTTGATCTTTATAAGCTGCCTGTTGCTATAACAACAAAGTGTCTTCTGCATGCTATGCTAGAAATAGCCTCTCTTCATTCCAGTCCAGAGCTGTGGGGCTATCATCCCATATTGTGCTTTTCCTCTTAGTTTAACACACTCTTGGCTGTTGTGCCTCATTTCAGATTTATGATAAAGCTGCTATTGATAGCACCATTGTTTTCCTTTTTATTAGTATTCATATTTTAAATGTCTAAATGAAGAATTGTCTGATTTTGTCATCCTGTAACCATTTCATTTTAAAATGAAGAAGCTAAATGGCTGTCAGAAGTGTATCCTAGACATTTCTCTTCCAGACACTTAATCTGAAGGTCCTTGGTCAGCCACATTGTGGCAAACATTATGTAACCTGTGGGAGAGAAAAATATGTCATTAGCAGCTACAGTGAATGTATCATTTTAGTGCCATCTAGAAAATGAGAGGCACTAATGCAGGCCATAGACGGGTTATTTATCGGCCGAATTTTCGTCCACACGAAAAATCGGCCGATATTCACGCCGTTAGTGGGGCAGTGCTGTCGGTGGTTTTTCACGGATCTTCTTGTTTCTTTTTATCGGTCATGCTGGAAAATCCATGAAAAACGGACGTTTTCAGTCAGCATTGGCGGCAGCATTCATGGCGGCAACGACCGATTTTTCATTTATCGGCTGATAAACAGCCCGTCTATGGCCAGCCTAAGGATGAGCAGACTCTAAACAAGCTGATTATATAATCTCCTTTAGATCTGCCACCAACTGTGTAGTAAAAGGGCTCTCATGATTCAATACGATTTGAATGGATTGATTAGGAATGTCTGTATGTTACATTGTTTTGGTAAAACAGCTACAGGCATCACCCAGATATCTTTGTTTTCAGCTGGCGCTTCCCTTTTATTCCTATTATTATATATACCATTTTCAGTGGAGGCTTCGGAAGCTGATTATTGCTTTCTTGTAAAGTGTATGAAAACACTAACAATGAACCGCTCTGGTTTGTTCCTTTTGGTCAGTTAACTATACCAATGAAAACATTTTGTTATACCCGAGTGCTAAATAAAAGTATCTGTTGATCATATCAGAAATTCTGAGTTTTCCTGTGTCTGGTGCACTCTTCTTGTGTTATTACAAGCTGAGTAACTAGCCTTCCTAGTCCTTTTCTTGGGACTACAGAATGGTGAGTGTTTGTTGTGGAGATGGGAGAGTAGGTGGATCTGAGTAGTTTGGCAATAGAAAACTGGGCAGGTCTGACACCAATCAGTCCATTAAAAAAAATAAACTGTCCACAACATTGCTCTTGAGCTCATTTTTGAAAGATCAATAGGCATTTTGCTGCCAAAGCCTTTTCTTTCTTCATTTTTTTTTTGTTAAAATGCACATTTTTTTTGGCTTATGAAATGTTTTGCTTTTTCAACTTAAAGGATGAGTTTACTTTTAGATTAGATAAAGTGTACACTTCAATAGCAGGTCCAAAGCTGTATGCATCATATTGCTTGCTATGACGAGCAGTCATTGGTCAGCGCAACCACACAATCATTTTCTGAGCCGCTTTCTTCTGCAATATTATCCTGGAAAAAAGAACAGATATCCATTGGTCACCATGGCTACTCTGATCAATGACCATTCACCACTGCGATTGTTTAGCTTGTGGGGTTTGTGACCTCTTGTCCAGTGTATTGTGTATGGATTGTCTTCTCTTAAACCTTTACCCTTTAACTTTTTTGATATCTCAAAGGAGTTGATAATTCCCCTGTGTGATAGCATAGTGCTAGTGACAGGTTCTCTTTAGGGAGAAATTGGTGGATTATTAGATCCTTAAGGCTCTTCACACAAAGTGGGGTTTGCTCCGATCAGCAGAGGACCCTCCTGAACTACCCTCCTGAATTGGAGTAGAATAGGACGTATATTCGTTGTGTTTTTTTTTTTTTGTTAATACATCCTTGCCTGTTCAGTCTGTGCCCAGTAGACACAGGCAGACCCATGATGGCTGATGAACAGCTGGATGTAAACAAACATCAGTGTTCGATGACATCAGGCTACCTTAAATTCCTCACATTTATGTTCAGAAAAATGGAGGAAGAATCAGTCCTTTTTTTTTTTTTTTTTTTTCTCAGACCTAGATGAACTTGGAGGTAGGCGTGTGTAAACTTCATGGAGCTTCCGATCAGGTCCCCCTGAAAAACTGACAGTCACCTTTTGGACTCTTCAAGTTAGTCAAGCTGATCACATCTGGTGTCATTATTCACAGGGGAGATCAGTGCTGCTAATCTCCTCTAGCCACTTCCTATGTACAGGCCTTGCTCCAGCATCAGCTGTACATTATTGCACTCATGGGCAGCACAGTGGCTAAATGGTTAGCACTTCCGCCTGGCAGTACTAGGGTCGTTGGTTCGATTCCCAGCCACGGCACCTCCTGCCTGGAGTTTGCATGTTTGTGCCTGTGGGTTTCCTCCAGATACTCCGGTTTTTTTTTTTTTCCACACTCCAAAGACATGCTGGTAGGTTAATTGGATCCTGTTTAAAATTGGCCCTTGTATATGAATGTGAGTTAGGGACCTTAGATTGTACACCCCTTGAGGGTTAGGGACTGATGTGAATGTACAATATATATTCAAACGCTGAGTAAATTGACGGCGCTATATAGGTACCTGAAATAAATAAATAAATCCAGCTTTCTGGCCATATTTAGTGACCAGTGACAATGTAGGAGCACAGTCGGGAGTGGATCATCACCCCATAACAGCAAGAACCTTCATAGTTGGATCACCTAAATGTTTTTTTTTTTTTTTTTTTTTTTTCACATATGCAAATGTAGAATAATTGCAAAAGACCTTTAAAATGATAATATGTTAAAGCCTAAATGAGAATTTAGCAGTTGGGTTTACATCTACTTTTAAAGCCCTCAAATGTTTTTTTCAGGGTTAAAGAAAAGGTTTCTGATATTTTGCCAGTAAGCTAGTTGTCCCTGGAGACATTTATGGGTTTATTAATAGCATAATGGGAAGTACACGAGTTTGCTAAGAATTCTCTTTCAGTGTTCTGCTGCATAACTGTACAAGGTTTGTTTTGGTGCAGTCATTACATTTCTATGAAACCTAACATCTTGCAGGTGTGTTAATTAGAGACTTCTGTGTGCGCGGCTGTAAATAGAAGAAAATAAGCAGAAACTTAGGTGGTATGTGGATACGCTCCAACAGGTTTTTAGCTTCGATTTGCTGGGTATAGTATGAAAGCTTTAAACTACTTTCCCTACAGCTCACCCTTTTGTATGTCCACTATTTTATTCAGACTCCGCTTGTTTGTAAAGCCAATAGTGAAGTTGTAAGTAGAGTTTTTTTTTTTTTAATTTGTTTTACCAACCCATTTAAGACTATATGTAAGGCTAGCCAAACATTACAAAGCTTTTTTGGCCATCCTTCTCTTCTGGGTCACAGGAGTGCACTTACTCCTGTCACCCGCCATATTGTCCTAATCCACATGGCTACTAGTTTTTGTTTTACTTTTTATTTATTTTTTTTTTTTATAAGTGATTAAATTTCTCTGTTCTCAGCTGCATAAGAACTGGGGGAGGAGAAATGGCCTCACACTGATCTTTCTAGTAGATGGCTGTGCGGGAATGTGGGACGGTCAGGACAAGTCTGATAATTCTAGAAGATCAGACTGAGTACTCAGTACAACTAGAGAGCCTGACCACTCTTTGCTCTCATGTATAGTATAGTCAGTTTTTATTAGGAAAGCAGAGGGACTGGCAGAAACACCAGGGATTTCACACAAAGGAAGCAATACAAAGAGAACATTATACTTTTTAATATGAGTACAAGGTACAGCAGGCCCACATCAGGAATATGAACTGTTGGATTTACATATTATTTAAGCCAGCCATACATGGATCGAAATTCAGCTGGTTCAGCAGGGACTGTTTTTTTTTTTTTTTTTTTTTTTTTTTTTTTATATTCAAGTATGGGCAACCTGGTTGTACAGCAGTCGTTCTACCAATCGACTTGTGTACAGTCAGCCTGTTGGGGTTTTCCCAATTAATCTCTGCCGCTGACTATAACACTGATCATTATGTTTGGACAGCGGGGAAGCCATTGTGTTTGGAAGCGGAGAAAATGGCACAGCACCAGTGATTCCCCACCACTCCCCCAATCACATCACTTTTTTGGTTGAACAAAAAAGTATTTCATGCATGACCTGCCATACTATCACTGTGCTCCATTTGGAGGACTCAGAGAACTGAGTGGTCTGCAGTCATGTGATCGCTCAGTTCTTACTCTTGAAGCCAATGTTGGACAGCTGCAGCACCACACTAATGCTGTGGCAAAGCTATGAGTGTGGATGTTTGTTTTTTTTTCATAACCACATACTTTACGATTCCCCCATCCATGGTGTGGATGGAGGAATCTCCACTGCTGGCTTTTGCTTTTCTCGTCATTGTCTGAAAACATGAACAGTGACTGCATCTGATTGGCTGGAGCACATTTTTGGCTGAGAATTTTCCACTTGGTTTTCTCGATTTTCAGATCATAATTTGCTGAGCCGGATGATGCTGTCAGGGCGACCTACCTGAATAAACAGGAACTGGCTGAAATTAGTTGTGTATAGCTATCATAAGTACTGTCTACTTCTTGGCAACCACTTGGCAAGAAAAAAAAATGCTTGTACCATACACAGTATTAAAATTTTGGAAATTGAAGACACGGTATAAACAAGCAAGATTAAAAAAAAATATATATATCCCATAACTGCTTAGATAATATAGATGTGTTCTTTATGGAGTTTAAAGTGTTACTAAACCCAGGACCCTGCATTCACTATCTGGTCTCCCATAGTACACAGAACTTGAAAATGCAGTTTTTAATAAATATAAACTGCTAAATACTTTTTCTCATCAGCAGTATATAGCAGTCTTGTGACTTCTGTCAGTGTTCAGCAGAGCATTGATTAAAGCTTTTAGGATGAGTTTTCTTTCTGCTCTAGGAGGATGCAGAACCCCTGACCTCTGTCTGGACAATGCTGATTGGCCCTTTGTTGATCACATGCACTCTCCCCAAAATAAACCTCTCTAGCAATACGCAACCACACTGAGCATGTGCATTGTTTCTCCACATGGTATGTCTTATCGAGCTACGAAGGGGAGGATCAGAGCGGTCAGGGTCAAACCGCATTTTTACACAATGCAGAAGATTAACCCCTTAGGATCTATAGTGAGTATAACGAGCATGCTTTACTGAATGTACAGACTGATTTTACTGTTGTGGGTTTAGTAACACTTAAAGCGTGTATAGTGCTCAGTATTGTGATCTGTTTAACATGCTGGATGTAGTGTGACCTGTGCCCTGAACTTCAGTGGAAATACATGCGTTTCTTTTGCATAGATACATTGTAGTTGAGTGGGTTTCAGCAGGCTCTAAGAATTTAGGAACAGCGTGATCCCAGCAGCCTAACTAAAAGGGCTCAGTTCTATGGACAACCTTTGATCTCGCAGTACTGTATTTGATCTGAAAATTTCTATACTATATTCATCGTTTGTCTAACCCCTTAAATATTCCAGGTAAAGCAAGCATGTGTTTTAGAGACTTACATTTTGACATAAGCTCTATGATGGCATACATTTGCACCTTTGATTTTGGCTGGCCATATACTAAGAGACTTTCAGTGGAAAATGTTCATCTCAGAAACATTTGATTTTTAAGTCATTAGTAAGGTCAAATCGGCGTTCGTTTTCAACTGCAGCGATGAGAATATTTGTAAAAGAGGAACAGAAATGTTTTCTCTAAAGAATTTTTGGCTTTCATTCAGGAAATTACATTAATTGCAAGATTGACTGTTAAAGTCGGTCATACATGGATCAAAATTCATTCTTTCAGCAGGGACAAGACAAATTTCGATGCATGTATGGGCAGGAAGGTTGTACAGAAGTATATATACTGATCGACTTCTGTGTAGCTGTCCTGTTGGTTTTTATTCTGCTCGATCAGCACTGCAGGCTATAACCTGCACAGTGTATTCTGATGGATGGGAAGTCTCCCCGTTGTCAGAATACATAGCTCAATCTGGAAGATTCCCCCATCCACACACACTCGAGCTATTGTGTTGTTAAATGAAAAAAAACTGACCGTATATGGGTTGTCTTCAAGTGTTTTTGTTTTTAAATAACAAACATGGTATACTTTCCTGCTCTGTGCAATGATTTTGCACAGAGCAACTCCGATCCTTTTTTTTTCTTTGGGTCCCCTACCAGCGTTCCTGGATCCTCCCTCCTTCAAAGTGCTTGCTTGCTATCAGGGCACTCCTGTGGGCTTGAACCTGAGCTGTGCTGTGCCTACCCCTGCCCAAACATCTCCAACATAGCCTGCTTCAGAAAGAATGATCTGCGTACCATAATTGGCATCCTTCCTGATGCCTGCCCTTTTTGCTTCACATATGAGATGGGCACAAAACATTAAGTACTCCAGGTGTTGTGTGGTTTTTTTTTCTGTAATGCCATCTCAAGTTCTCCTTAAAATCTGTTACTGAGAACTGATCTTGTAATTTTACCAATGTTGTATTTATCAATAAAATCCTTTGAACTTTAGAGCTACAGTACCTTTTATATTGAGTCGTCCTTTACCCGCCTATCAGTGTGAATGTATCCTGAAGATTGTTATTTACTCAGCAGCTTAGTGACAAGACCCAGACAACTGGCTGATATCTCTTGACTTGCTTTGTTGAAGAAACATCCTTTGCGAGGTTGGAGCGGAATATGTAGAAACCTGTTATTTGCTAACAAAAGTAGATGTCACAGGATGTGGGTACAACATCTGCTACAGTGAGCTCGATGGAGATGAAAGCACACACATTTTTACAGATGGTAGTCCTAGTTTAGTGATTCCCAGCCAGTGTGTCAGAACACTTTGGTGACTGGATGTTACAGAAGTATTCTACTAAGGTTAAGTAAAAAAAAATAAAATGCTGGTTAAATTCACTTTTTTGTTTTTATGCAGTTATGCTGCATAGAGCTTTTTTTTTTTTTTTTTTTTTAAGCAGTTTATTTTTGATCAGCCAGAAGGCTAATAAAAAAAGAAAAAAAAAGAAGAAAAACAAGCGGATTCCCCCATCCACAAAAGCAAGCTGAATAGAACTAGTTAAAACAGTGTATGCTGACAGCGGCGATTGTCCGCTGTCAGAATAACCTGATAAGCAGCTGCAGGAGAACGTCCAGCAGGTCCATTCAACAAAAATTGATCTTTAGATCGACTTCTGTCAAGCGAGAGCGGCCACCAGAAGGATCCACATTCAGCCAATACCTGCTGAACCGGCCTAATTTCGATCCACCTGTAGCCAACTTTACCTTTTGTAGCCTTCCTCCACTGTTGGAGCCCCAAAGAGGACCCTTTACTTGCAGGTATATGGGGACACATGATACTTCCCCTTCCTCCAACATATCAAAGCTTAGTGTCTTAGTAACCAATCACCAGGCTTGAAAGAGAAGTGGGGCCAAAACCTTTTTAGCCCTACTTCTCCTGTAGGTCACAAGAGTGTACTTAGTTATGCACTCCTGTGACCCAGATTCAGGCGACAGTGGGCTAAAGTCACTATTAAAGTGGAACTGCCCATCAATTTAACTGTCTATGAAAACACTCAAGCATGACTTGAATAATAACTGTTACAGTAATTTGTATGCTTATGTTATGTTTCAAGTAACCTGTTAAACCATCCAATGGCAGGTGTTCTAGCTGATCACATGTAGCACCAGGCAACTGCAGATCAAACAGACGCTAAGGTGGCAGCTTCCTTGTCTGTAAAGTATAGAAGGGTTGAGTTATTATTATTATATTATTATTATACAGGATTTATATTGCACCAACAGTCTGCTCAGCGCTTTACAATATAACGGGAGACAATACAGCAACAATACAGTTCAATACAAGAGGGTTAGGAGGGCCCTGCTCCTTGGAGCTCACAATCTAAGAGATCTGCTTTAAAAGCTATCATTAGGGGTCCAGGGAATGGGAGAAAGATGAGGGTGTCATGGTGAAATGTAGGAAGAGCATGGTTAACATTTCAGTTAAAGCGGAACCTCTTACTGAAGGAGGTTTTAATTTTCTGACTCCACTTTATATTTCAAAATTTCAGTAGTTGAATATGGACTTTGGGAGTATCATTAGGAAAAGTAGGGAATACAGTAGTGTTACTTAACCGACACGCCACTCATTCCATAGTCTCTTTACGATGCCTCAGACTTAGCCGCACATTTTTACCACTCATCTGAAAAAGGCCTATTTTATGAGCAGCTGTACCTATTATCACTAGTGCTAGGAGTGTGTTTTCTATATGTTTACGTACTTAAAGACCTTCCCCAGTCCAAAATAAATATTGAGCAGAATTAAAGTGATACTAAAAACACACTGCTTAATTTACATGGTCTCTTCTTTTTCTGTATGTGGATGATGGCACTGTAATTTACCATTGTGTATACACCCACATGTGTGACTATAGTCACATGGGTAACTCAGCTGGGATAGGGAGGAAATGCTCAGGGTAGAAAATACACTGATATCTGAGCATTTGTAAAGCTGCTCTGCAAAATCCCCAGATTCATGGGGACATGGACAAAAGGGGGAGACAAAACTGCAGGATCAAGCGGGGTTTTTTTTGCAGAATACAGAAAACAAGTCCCATAGTGACTGAGTATGAACAGCATGTAATACAGCACTTATTGGTAGCGTTTTATGTTGTGGGTTTAGTGACACTTAAGTTTGTAACTCCACAACTGTGCCAGTTTCTCATATGGCCCCTTGGGAAGATTAATTGCCCACCCAGGTAGTAAATATTTATTACTGCAAGTCTGTTCATGGGTGAAATATGACCGTTTAAGGATATGTGCATTTTAGTATAATTGAAATGCTGCATGTAAGCAATTACCATTATTTTATTCTTTTGAAGTAAGCTTGTACCAAAAGGGGTTTGCCTTTCTGGCTTTAAAAAAATGAATGTGATGCAGCAGTCAGATAATGGTGATGATGTGCATGTTTCAACAATGAAAAATAGTTTTACTCTTCTGATGTTTTATGTACCTTGAAAGTTTTGAAGTGTCAGTAGCTAAAGGGAAATGTTCATATGCTACAAGTCTTTCTGTATTTCTTATCAGCGCTTTTTCAGAGCTGTCCCAGAATAATGAATGAAGTGTGAAATCATTGAATCCTGTAAATCTGGCCAAGTGTCCAGATAAGAGTTGCTACCCACTTAGACAACATTCTGCCCTTTCACAAAACTGAGCAACCTGTTCAGTAGCAGCATACTTTTTTGTTTGTTGAAAAAAAAAAAGGTTTTCTGAGTTCAGGAGAAAGAGGCTTAACCTCACCTAAACACGGCAGCTCCTAAACTCTGCTAAAAGCCTGTGTTCATGGACACATAGGCTTTTGTGGAGTTGAGTTTAGGAGCTTTTGCAAAAAAAAAAAAAAAACGCCAAAAACTCCTAAACTGAAGTTAGGAGCTGCTAGTGTACTGTATAAAGCTTTATAGGGCCCATGATAGCTTGGGTTTACAGGGGAAGTGGGCAGGGGGTGTAGGGATCTAGTGTAGGGAAAAAAAATATTCCAGTTTTTTTGGGGGTCATAACTCTGGACTGAATATTCCAGCAAAAGTTATATTTTAATGTATTTTAATGCAAATATTGTTGTCACACTATTGTGCTTTTTTTAAAATAATAGAATATATATAGCGCAAAAAATGTAAAGGAACACTTTGAAAACACATCAGATCTCAAATGGGAAATATATCATGCTGTATATCTAAACACGCAAAACTGATATGGACTGGGTAATGTATTAGGAAACTGTAAGGATGCTGCCACAAAACGTGTTTCTGGGTGGATAATGAAAATTATCAACCTACAGGACCCTGAAAGAGCAAAGACACCCTCAGGCAAATCAAAACCACTGAAAAAAATATTATGCAGCAGGTATAGTCTATTTTGCTGAAATGTCATTGCAGCAACTCAAAATGGTACTCAATAATTTGTATCGCCCCACGTGCTTGTATGCATACCTGACAACGTTCAGCTGAGTCCATTCTCCTAATCAGACGACAGATGGTGTCCTGAAATATTTCCTCCTCCCAGATCTGGACCAGGGCATCACTGAGCTCCTGG